CATTCACCCAATGTATAATAACTACAAAATATTTACCTAATAGCACTGATAAAAGAGTACTATTTGGAATTATTAGCGAAGGAGGTGCGACAGATAATTTCATACAAATGCACATCAATCTACTTAACAACTATCTATTGAAAATTAGAAGCTACACTCAAGATAGACAGTGACGGTAGTTTAAAGAATAATTACAATCATGAAGCATTTGAACAAGAATATCTAAACAAGAAAATTTTATTACCGGCCAATGTTTACAACTTTTGTTCGTGGACCTTTACGCACAGGTTATGTAAAACAGATATCTATTTTTTTAATCATTTTTAGTATATCATAAGACAAAGGTATTATGACCACTGTCTGGTGTGGTTTTGATTATAGTTATATAAACAACTTGAACTTTGACTTATCTAAAATGAAATAGTAGATCAATATTGTGACTCGGATATAAAGCGTTTGGTTAGAACTGTTCGATCTATGTTTTTTAAACTTAAGATCATCGTTTTAAAATCGTTACAGTTAGCACTTAATTGATACAAACCAACACCCAGTGCCATCAAATATTAATTGTAATTGAATAATTACCAACCGTCATTTACAAGTCTCGTATGACAAAAGTGGGACAGATACGAATTCAAAGTCACGGTAACGCTATCGGACGAGGAAGAAGAAATACCATAAAGTGTTTACAACAAGTGAGAATTGTCAAGTTCGGAAGTTATGAATAATTTCATAATTAGTTTCAAGTTTAGTTTGATGTGACAATTAATTCGTCTTCTGCTGCTTTTGCACTGTTGATCCAAAGATATGGCAAGTACCTTTTAACTGATTTGTTTGATTTTTTCTTTTAAAAATACCGTTGTTGAAGGCGTGATGTTGACATACAGGTTTACGTTATTCGATTGGATTTTATTGAATTGCTTATAACATGATATAAGGACTGGGAATTTCCTTGAAGTTTCAATAGTAAAGCTTTATTGCAGAGAACAGGATAAGTTGTTTTTTAACAAGCCTGGTCTTCTCAGACAATATTCATAATTTCAGATGAATAGTATTATTACATTTTCAATGCAAATCCTCAGATTTAGTTAGCAACCCTTCCATCTTAGCCATCAAGCCAGGGAACCTGAGGGAAATGTAGGCTTTTGGGTGGGTCAGGTACAAGATCATGCAATATGCATGTCAACTAATATAATAGATGAAGAGATCGGTAGATGATAGTAATAGATGAAATATGTGATGTTATTACAATATCATATATTTTATATCAGTTGTATTGCACACTATCTGTAAAATGACTGCAGTTGCCTTTGTACCTAAATGCCCCATGGGGAAAGGGCCAGTAACATCTATTACACATAATGTGAGGGGATAGTAAGACTGGTTGCATATTTGACAGTAAACTTGTGTTAATTTTTATTATATATATTCAATATCACAGCCAAAAGCACAAATACAGGTCTTAACAAGCAATATGACAACTGACATCAAACTAGACAACTTTGACATTTGTGGACCCTTGAACAGTAAGCACATGAAACTCCTAGTTTATGACTGACCTGTTGGTTTTAATTTTTGTTGGTTATTGCTTTTGGGTCAATGGCATAATGAGAACTTTTTTCAGCTAGTTCTTTTTTAGTGTATGACAGCTAAAACAAAGACATGTCCGTTGATTTTTTATCAGTGAAAGATGGTGATTGAGTAATGTACGGTATTATGTATCTCTTTTAAATAGCTTATTTATATCCAATTCGCAGCAGAACTGTCATAGATCAAAATAGCCTTAGATGTCATCAGTCTGTTAGTTTTGTAAATTTTTTACCATTTAAGTGATGTTAGTTATCTAAATATTAATAATAAACTAGTTGCTTTGTAGGACATTTCAGTGTATCTTAGCTGAAGACACAGTTCCATAATTTTTTGTCTTTCCAGAAAAAAATTGCTGCTTATGGATGTATATATGTTCTTTTTCTTCTTAGATAATAAAAATAATACTATTACTAATGATGATAAATGTAATAGTAATAGTAATAATAATAATAATAATAATTTTCTACTTGTATTGAGTTAATTATAATGTTGGTAATTGTTCATGTTGCACTAAAAGAGTTAGATGTACTCAGCAAGAAAGAGCTTGGAGTAGTGCCTTTTTTGAGGGTACAGTAAATTACCAGAGAGGTCTACAAGTTCTTATTTGCCAGAATACATATGGTGGAAAATTTGGTTGCCTTTGCTAGATGGTAAAATGTAGAGGCATTAGCATTTGAGCAAATTATATTTCTGTACTGAAACTAAAGGTGTTGTATAATGAGATATTTATGGCCATTACTATAGCTTTTCTCTTGGTTTGTCCAATGTCAGTGGACAGTGACCATACTTTTTATTTTGACTCAGTTTAGTTTTTTTTTTTTTTTTTTTTTTTTTTTTTTTTTTTTTTTTTTTTTTTTTTTTTTTTGACTTGTAGTAGTAATAGGAAATCCATTATGATATGTATTAAACT